TAAGAGCGTTAAAAATTCATACAACAAAATCAAACCATTAAATCCGGGCTTTTCCGGCATCGGTGTTGTCTCCACCCGAAGATCTTTTATTTTATGCAAAACAGCCGTCAAATTAGTGGTCGACATAATGTTCAACAATTGTTTGATACGATTTTTCACTAAATTTCAAACGTTTGCTTCAAAAACAAATTTAATGATTAGAATGTCTTAAAACGGATGCTTTTATAAGATTTTTAAATTTCACAATTTATTCCCGTTTCAAGCCTTGAGAGTTAACTGAAGTCATATCACGTCTCTTGTGATTATTTTACAAAACCTTGAAATCAAATAAAATTTTCGCAAATCATTTATTTGTCATTTTATTTCTGACGAGAATTTAAGAAAAATGTTTAACAATTTTAACTTTTGTTTTGATATTCAAATAAATCATAAACTAAATATTACTTAATTGCGAAATAATTAAAATTTTAAATCGATAAAAGATTGTTTAGAAAATTATTGCATAATTATGTGCATAAGTTTATTGTGATTCTCTAATTGCAAATTCATATCACAAATCCTAAGTTATTTTACTTTTACGAAAAATTTATTAATTAAATTAGTTATCCTATGAATTCAATTATTAAATAATAATTTATATACTACAATACATCTAGTGTTGGATTTTTAGTTTTTAGACAATTGTTAAAAATATTATTTTAAAAATTATTTATAGAATTATATTACTATATAAGTCATAAGAAAACATTATATTATTTAAATATTAATAAAATAAATAGGCTTTACACTATTTACGTGGATTTTTACACTTATAACGGGATATTTACTAAAAATATATTTATGATTGTATTGTTTACACAAACAAAATATATTTCTGATTTTAAGTTATATGTATTATTCGTTAAATAGTTGATTTATAAATTTAATTTGATTTTATGAATATGATTTAAAACTATTTAATTAAAAAGTTAATGTGTAAGTCATTTCTAGTTATAAATAAAATTAATTATAAACATAATTAATTTTTTACAATTCGACCCGTTATTAAATGAGATGTTAACTTTCAAAATCTAGATTATATCAATCCTTTAATATATAGTATATTATATAATTGAACAATATTTACTCACAATAAGTGGAATTTTACTAAATAACCACAATATACCACATAATTCTAGATCTGAATGCTTTTAATCTCTATTCGAGACATTTAACAAAACACATATTTGGTCGCAAATAAACACACTGTAAATATTCACGATTTGTGTACTCTTTTCAACGATAAGGCAAATTAAAAGGGAGAGAAAGAGAGCGAGAATGAGATGAATATCATATTATTGTATCGTTTGTATCGTATTATTGTAATAATAGCTTATGGTTTGAAAGTTAAATTAATCGCGTTTTCATTGGTTTGAAAGAATTCGCTGTCTTTTTGATTGAATTGGGATGAAATAACTTATATTTTACATGTTGTTTGACTTTTTCTAATTGTTGTTCATATCTACTAAAACTTTAGGACTAAAGATAAACTATAAATTGTTTGGTAGACATAAACACAAGTCTTTTTAATAAGTTTTTATATTACTGTATATATCATACCATTTATTCATTTAACAGTTAAAATGTTAATAAAAACGGTCAGAATTGTTGCTCTCATTGCACTTTTTGCAGGTATTTATTCCTAAACTATTAATTCCTATATTTTCTATTTACTACTTTAAATAACATATTTTTAAAATTATTGTTTTATCATTTATTTTATACGTTATTATTTTAGTATTAAATTTTATTCATATATTTAATGTATGCGTAAATTTAAATTTTTTAAATACATGATAATTAAAAATAAATTAATCAACTTTTGAGACAAACAAACTCAACGCGACTTTTGTACATCATTTCGCTTCAACAGCATATCATTCAAACTATACACGTGTTTACATTTGATATTTAACATTGAAAACTTTAATATATTAACATTTGTTTTATTAATAATAGTGTTTAATAAAAATATTTTAATTATTTAATACCAGAGACCTATTTGGTTGGTATCGTTCCGTTATATTTGCTGAAGAAGTGGAACAACAGAATATCGTCGCATATCATCCCATTTGCCAATGAGTTGGAGGGCAGGGGTAGTGAGAGGGCATCCCTTTCCTCAAACGCTGTCATTCAAGTTCTTCTGCAATTCGGTGGAGGAGTTCTGTTGGCAACTGTTTTCACACATCTATTGCCCGAAATCAAAGAGCATTACGAAGAC